TGTCGGGTGATGTTCATGAAGATGGCGCAGCTGGAGGCGGAGGCCTCCAGTCACGTCGCCCGGGAGACCCTTCTGGGCGCCATTCACCAGGAGCAGACGGCGGCGGCGAGCACAGAGGATAATCGCTCCGTGCTCTTTGCCAACTAACTGTCCATTTGTCTTCAGCTTCAACAACAGCTCAGTCGCCATTGTTGCTACCCCCGCACACACACACACATTATTTATTATTGTTGTCCTCCTCGCACGTCCTTTGTTCTCTCCTCCTCTCCTTTGTCGAAGCTGTTACTGTCGTTGTCTTCGCTCCTTCATCTGCACACTTTGTTATCCCTGGCTCTCAACAGCAGCAGCAGCAGCANGTAAGTCTTTTGTTCTCTCCTCTCCTTTGTCAAAGCTGTTACCGTCGTTGTCTTCGCCTTCATCTGCACACTTTGTTATCCTTCGCTCAAACAGCAGCAGCAGCAGTTGTTGCCAACAAATGCTCAACTGCTGTTGTTGTTGCTGCTGTTGCTGTCAGCCACTCATCACAATTAACATTTCCATTCTCGTTCTCTAAGCTCCTAGCTCTAATCTGCAAACTACATTACTGACTTCTTTGAGGTCAGAACCATTTGCTGCTGCTGCTGCTGCTGACCACCGGAACTACTTCTGCTGAAGATTAGGCAAGAGTAGGTAGGTAGGTTGGTGGTAGGCACACACTTAAGTGGCCGGCCAAGTAGGCCTGGGCTAGGCAGATAGATAACTGCAGCAGCAGTAATTCAGTAGTGGTAGCGGTAATTCAATCAGCGGTCAACTCGGTGGTAACTGTCAACGACGACAAGAAGAAGGTTACGGTAACAAGAAGAAGAAAGGAGAGCATGACACGAGAATTGGGAGGACTAAACAATGAGGACACCAATCACAACACTGGTCACCGAGTTCTCCACCGAGTGAGGATATCGCCGGTGACCGTTATTCAACGGCGAAAATGGCCAACCTACCAACCTCGACCTTGACATAGAATGACTAGGCAAGAGAAGCCTTCGTTCGTTCTTTCGGTCAAGAGCAGCAGCAGCAATTCTTTCCTTCTTCTTTTCCTCTCGCCCATGTTTGCTTCCTCGTCCGCGACGGTAGCCGCAGCAGCAGCAGCCGTCGTTAGGATGGCGATGAGATAAGCAAGTCTTTAGATCTTCACACAGACACTCAGACAAACTGGTCAGACGGGAGCACAAGTGGTCAGCAGCAGCAGTACAAGCAACCAAGCAAGCGGTTATTGAACTTGACCACACACACACACACACACAGACACTTGTTGCAATCGAGTTTAGTCAGTCAGTCAAGCACGGACAAATGAGAGATGATGATAGAAGGGAGGCTTATTGCACAAACCAACAACACCAACAACAACAGTGCCAACAACACCGTTAGAGACAATAGTGAGAAAGAGAGATAGGTAGGTAGGTAGGTAGGTGAACAGACACAAAAACGGCCGCTTTTCAATTCAACTATTTTCCCATTCAATCACAGGCACACACAATCTCAAATCAAATCTGGCCAGCGTTCAATCGGAAGACTGATCATCCGGTAAGGGACGCAAACACAAACAGCAGCAGCAGAATTGTCGCCAGCCAATTCTCATTCATAGCGCTGGGAAATGAAGAGAGGAGGGCACCTCCGTTCAGCCTCCTCTTCAGTCTCGCTCGAGCAGGTTCGAAAAGAGAGAAAATCGAGGAGAGTACCTCGTCAGACTGACCACCACCAACACTAACAGGTGCTCTTCAAGGATACTCAAGGTTGAGGTGAGAG